AGGATTTTTCTCTCACAAATAAATATTTAAAGTGCATTCTCCACCCTTTTCTCTCAGATCTGCATTACAACTGTAATTACTCATGTAATTATTTACTAGAAATTAAGCTCACTGGCTGGCGCCGCGGCTCACTAGGCTAATCCTCCACCTTGTGGCGCCGGCACACCGGGTTCTAGTCCCGGTCGGGGCGCTGGATTCTGTCCCAGTTGCCCCTCTTCCAGGCCAGCTCTCTGCTGTGGCCCGGGAGTGCAGTGGAGGATGGCCCAAGTGCTTGGGCCCTGCACCCCGTGGGAGACCAGGAGAAGCACCTGGCTCCTGCCTTCGGATCGGCGCGGTGTGCCGGCCGCAGCGCACCGGCCGCGGCAGCCATTGGAGGGTGAACCAATGGCAAAAAGGAAGACCTTTCTCCCTGTTTCTCTCTCTGTCTACTCTGCCTGTGGAAAAAAAAAAAAAAAGAAACTAAGATTTTGGAGATGTTTGTCACTGCAGCATAACACAGCCTGCTTTGATAAAGAAATGTTAGGAGAAAAAAAAATATGGGTTTGATATTTGGCTGCTAAGAGAATTTGAGCTTGTTGGGGGGGGGGGTTTCTGGTAATGATCTCCATGGTCTTGTTGCTCAAGTGTAGTGACAGACCAGCAGTCTCAGCACTGTCCAGGAACTTACTAGAAATACCAGCTAATGAGCCCAATCAGAAACCTGCTGGACCAGACTCCTCATTTTAACAAGATCCCCAGGTATCCTATCCAAGAGTGTTGTTTCAGAAGCAGTGGTCTACAGGCAGCTGGAAATGCAATTCTAAAGCATCTTAAATACATCTGAGCTCAATGTGTAATGGGGCTAGCACGGCACGGGTCCTCACAGTGTGGTCCCTGGGCCGGCAGCATCTCCATCCACTGAAGATTTATTTATTTATTTATTTGAAAGAGTTACACAGAGGGAGAATGAGAGGCAGAGAGAGAAAGGTCTTCCACCTGCTGGCTCACTCCCCAACTGGCCGCAATGGCCGGCGCTGTGCCGATCCAAAGCCAGAAGCCAAGATCTTCCTCTGGGTCTCCTATGAGGGTGCAGGAGCCCAAGGACTTGGGCCATCTTCTGCTGCTTTCCCAGGCCATAGCAGGGAGCTGGGTTGGAAGCAGAGCAGCAGGGACTCAAACTGGTGCCCATATGGGATGCTGGTACTGCAGGCGGTGACTTTACCCGCTATGCCACAGCACCAGCCCCAAGATTTGTTTATTTGTTATCTGAAAGGCAGAGTTGCAAAAAAGAAAGAAGGAGAAACAGAGACAAAGAGATCTTCCATCTGCTGATTCACTCGCCAAATGGCAGCAATGGCCAGGGTTAGGCCGGTCCAAAGCCAGGAGCCAGGAGCTTCTTCTGTGTCTCCCACATGGGTGGCAGGGGCCCAAGGACCTGGGCCATCTTCTGCTGCCTTCTCAGGCACATTAGCAGGAAGCTCAATTGGAAGTGGAGCAGGCAGGACTCGAACAGGCACCCATATGGGCTGCTGGCGTTGCAGGTGGCAGCTTTGCTACAACACTGGTCTCTCAATGAAGATTCTTTAGAGCTTCAGATTAGCAGGGCTGAACCCAGACCTATTGAATGGGGAACTCTGAGAGTGAGATCCAGCAATTTCTATTTTAGCAACCCTTCACAGAATGTGCACGCACATGAAAGTTTTCTTGACAATCCCTGCTGACTATCAACAAGAGCTGAAAATACAGTAGTTGATTCTTAAGGGGAAGACAAGGACAATTACAATACTGTTCCCATGAGAAAATGCGATGTGTTACAACATAATGTTCTTTATGCACAGGGTGGCCATGGACTGTGAGCCCCACTGTGGTGGTGACCTGTCAAACCTACTTTTCTAGCAGGTGGATGTTCCAGGACAGATCTCTGGATGAAAAGGACAGGGAAGGAGAAGGAGAGGACAGAAAGGCAGAGAGGCAGCAACACTGCTTCGCACTCTGCCACCCTGATGCTCCTGAGCCTTGCTGCATGGGAAAACCATGAGAAAGAAGCGCCATGGGGACCCTTCTGGCTGTGCCTCCCTGGAAATCCACCTCTCTCTTTCATCAGGAATGAACCAGAATCAGATCGCACACCCAGGTGCCTGAAGACAATCAGCAGTCCAACCCCTTGCTTCCTTTGGGATATCACAGACCCAGGGCATCCATTCACTGTTTTCATTGGTTTGCATCTTCATCCAAGATTTAGTGAGTGCCTTTTCTGTGCAAGGTATCCAAGGCCAACAGGGAGGCCTCTTGGTCTGGACTTGGGAAAGGGCCTCTTCCCCTTGAGACTCTCAACTGAAATCACCCGTCTTTCCACGTCAGGCACAGAAAACGTGCATCAAACCATGACTTTCTAGTTTCACATTCCTCTTCCATTAAGAGGGTTTGAGAAGGCCATGGAGAAAAATGCATCCACAGTGACTCATAGAACATTACCATCCCTAGACGGCCCCTTACCCAGACTGTGCATCAACTCCTTACAGCACATGGCGGGAGCCATACACCCAGCTCTGGTTATGTCAGACTCACCTGGAGGACCACACAACTCTCAAAGCAGAGGCCACTCCTCAGACCAATTAAGTCAAAACCCATTGAGTGGGACCCAGGCATTGCTATTTTAAGAAGCTTTCCAGTTGGTTCCACTGTGCAGGAAAGGATAGGAATGACTATGCTAGGGAGGGGATCTAGGGTATTAGTTTTTGCCCCTTAATGGAGCTGAGTATCTGTCCCTGAAGGTCAAAGTCCTGGATTCTCAGTTCAGCTTCTGTATTTTCTTTCTTTCTTTCTTTCTTTCTTTTTTTTTTTTTTGGCCAGGCAGAATTAGCCAGTGATAGAGAGAGACAGAGAGAGAGTTATAGACAGTGAGAGACAGAGAGAAAGGTCTTCCTTTCATTGGTTCACTCCCCTAATGGCCGCCACGGCCGGCGCTGCGCTGATCCAAAGCCAGGAGCCAGGTGCTTCCTCCTGGTCTCCCATGCGGGTACAGGGACCCAAGCACTTGGGCCGTCCTCCACTGCACTCCCGGGCCACAGCAGAGAGCTGGACTGGAAGAGGAGCAACCGGAATTAGTACCCGGCGCCCCGACTGGGACTAGAACCCGGGTGCTGGAGCCACAGGTGGAGGATTAGCCAAGTGAGCCATGGCGCTGGCCAGCTTCTGTATCTTCATGACTTTGCTTTGGAACTCAAAGTGAGTAATCACATTTAAACTATTGTATCACAGCAAATCTTTCCATTCATCTTTTAATTTTTATAATTGTTATCAAAATTTAGATACAGATTATATAGCCAAAGGAACAAGTTTTATTTTTTCCTATCTGGGGGTTTGTTAGCAATAGCTCTACTTTTCAATGAAAACTTGCATTCATTACGTGATCAACTTGGTCAAAATAATGTGGTTATGAAGCCTTGGTAGAGGGAATGCAATTGCATGACGCAGTGTCAGTGGTTTAGGCAGGTGGTAGTGGGGCCTGGGTTTACAGAATAGGAAAGTCTAGTGCCCTAGAAAATGAGAAGAATCCCCAGCCACTGCTTTGTTCTTAAATCTACTCTTGTCATTTGCATACACAAATTTATTCTGGGCCTTACATGGCAATGTTACAGTAGGTTAAAAGTCACTAACATCATAATATAGATTGAGTATCCCTAATTCGAAATGTGAAATATAAAATGCTCCAAAATTGGAAGCACTCAGTGCCACAAGGGGACAATTTCACACCATGAAACTTTGTTTCCTGCCCCAAATTATGAAAAATATACTCTAAGATCACTTTCAGGTTAGGTGTATGAAGTATATATGAAACACAAACAAATTTCATGTTGCGACTTTGGTCCCATGGCCAAGAAATCTCATTATGCATATGCCTGTGCATATGCATATGCAAATTTTCCAAAGTTGGAAAAGAATCCCAAACCTGAAACACTTCTGGTTGCCATGATTCAGAAACAGGATACTCAACCTGCACTGGCAACATTGTTGCATTTAGCATCACATCCTCTAACATATCTAAATATCTTTAACTTAAGAAAGACTGATTCACATTCATGAAAGCAGGGAAAGGAGAGATGGAATATGCCTAAGGATAAGGAGCCTTCCAGAACTTCATGGACAATGGAATGCAAAGACAGGTTTAGTTTGGTGCAAAGTGATCTGAAACCCATGCCTAGTTTTTTCACAATCCATATTTTCCATGAATGTTTTGAAGGCCCCATATGCATGGATTTCAAAGTTTTTTGCACCAATGATAAACTTTTTTTTTTTTTCATTCTGTTTTCCACAAATGTTCTGAAGCCCCCTGGTGCTTAGAGATTCTTGGAGATTCTCTCCAGTTCTGGTGACTTTAGAACAGGGATCAGCACCATCATCACCGAGGAGTTTAATATTAAATGCAGAATCGCAGACCTATTCCAGCGTCATGAATCAGACTCTGCAATGAAGCTCCTAAGCTCCTTAGGTGTCCAAAAACCCAAGGCACTGGAGAAGCACTGAGTCAGCCTACAGATGCTACTCACCACTCTGGAGCTAATCAAATCATACACGGAATTTGTAGATGATCCTAGAGGTGAATAGTCTTTGAAAACAAAGCAGCAAAGAACTGGAACTAAAAATTTGTACCAAATGCTTCCTGGATTATAAAACTAATAAGAACAGGATACAGATGACATAAACAGATGGCTTAAACTGGTGATGTCCATTGTGACAGTATAATTTGGTCACAACTATAACATGCTTATCACTAGTCATTAGACAGAGAGAGTGTTTTTTTTTTGCAATTGATATACATTTTTAAAAAACGTGTCTACTAAGATTATGAATACAGAAGAAATGCTCCTTAGCATGGTTCATGTTAGACGGAGAATTTGCCCATACTCCAAGTCTCATGTTGGGGGTGTCTCTCACAGGTAAAGGTTCTGCTGGCTCCTTGCTTCCTGCCTGAGGAGCCCCTTCCCTCGGCAGCCCTGTTCCTCGGGGTGAGCTCTTACCTCCTGGGGTTGTTGGTACTGAGAGGCCATGAGAAGGAATGCCCGCTGCGCCTGGAAAGCACTGTGCACCATTTCTGCCTGGGAACAAAGATGGAGAAGGCAGTTTCAATGTTAAGAGCTCTTAACCAGAGAGTCACCCACCACAGGACTCAGTAATTCTGCCCCTAGGGACATGCCCAAGAAAAATGGAAGCAGATATCCATGCAGAGCTTGCAAACAAATGCTCGCAGCAGCATTATTCTTTGGAGCCAACACGGGGAAGCAAGCCGAATGCCCACCCACTGATGAGTGGCTAAACAAACCGTGATGGATCCACACAACAGAACATGACTCAGCATTCCACAGAAATGAAGGACTGACACGTGCTTCAACACAGAAGAAGCCTGAAAACATTATGCTGAGTGAATGAAGCCAGCCACAAAAGAGCATATTCATATGATCCCGTTTATAGGAAATGTTCGGAATAAGCACATCTACAGAGACAGAAAGTAGATTAGTGGTTGCCAGGGGTTGCCAGGAGGGAGTTATGGGGGGGGGGGCAGTGACCGCTAATGGGCTTGGGGTTTCTTCTGATGGTGATAAGAACGTTCTGGAGTTAGGCAGTGGTGATGCCCTCACCACATGGGGAATATATGAGACTGAATTGTTGACTTAAAAAGGGTGAATGTTACAGGTGTGAATGCTACCTCAATAAAGCTGCTAAAAATATTTGAGTCCCAAAGTGCCATTATTTTCAAAGCATGACTCTCTCTTGTTCTTTGACACTGGGTCCCGAATCTGTTCTATCCCTTCCAGGGGAAGGAGGATCGTTCTTCAACTCACCTAGAGTCAATGTCTTCTACGATTCCTCACTATGATAGTTCTGGAAGAGATTTTTTTAATGCTGCGTGGGGCCCCAGCTGGACTCAACCCTTCCATCAAAGTGATCTGTGTATAAGGAGCACCCTCAAACACACACTCTCCTATCCTTACCCTCTACTCGCTCCTGATGTTTTATTTAAAAAAAAAAAAAAAAAAAACTACAGAAATGTACCAGGAAGACAATAATCTCAAATACCTATATCACCCAGCATTAACTAACTTTTTTGAAAATTTTCTCTAGCTTTTAAGAAAATTTAGTTGTTTTCACAAGATAAGGCATACTGATTTAGAATATTTTTTAATGCAGAAACATTCAAAGATTAGTTTTTGAAAAAATAACTCACAACCTGGAAGTGATCATTAGCAACATTAGATGACATCATTGTAACCACTGCTTAAGAATATGTTCAGAGAAAAAAAAATATGTTCAGACTTATGGAATGGGGCCATACCTAGTGTTCTTATTATTTTTAAAAAAGCATAACATATAATTATTATTCAGGGGATGGTGCTGTGACATAGCAGGTAAAGTTGCCACTGCAGTGCCAGCATCCCATATGGGTTCCAGTTTGGGTCCTGGTTGCTTCACTTCTGACCCAGCTCTCTGCTATGGCCTGGGAAAGCAATAGAAGATCACCCAAGTCCTTGGGCCCCTGCACCCACACGGGAGACCTGGAAGAAGCTCCTGGCTCCTGGCTTTGGATCAGCCCAGCTCCAGCTGTTGTAGCCATTTGGGGACTGAACCAGTAGATGGAGATCTCTCTCTCTCTCTCTGCCTCTGTAACTCTGCCTTTCAAATAAATAAATAAATCTTTAAAAAATTATTGTTGAATAGTAGAGATGAAAAAGAAAAAGAACTGTTAAAGTTCAAAGAAAACTCCCTGTATTAGAAGTTGTTATTTCCTAAATGATTGATCTAAGGTAAAAATATACAAAATATTAATAAGCTGGAAATGTGTTTGCATTGTAATACAATAATTTTAGACAGTATTGGTCAACTTCCTGGGAAAGATGAGAACAGAAGTACTTTTACATTTTTCCATTTCTGGCCCCCTGTTTCCATATTTTTCAGTTATTATTTTGTCCAGTTGATGACATTCATATTCAGTCTGCAACATTAGTTTCCACTGTTGTTTAGTAGTACTTCCACATTTAAACCACCCTAGTGGTTTAAATAGTGTCTCCATTTCCAAATTATTTTGATGTATTTTTTCAAAGATTTATTTAATTTTATTTTAAAGAAAGAGTAATGGCGGGTGGGAGAGTTAGAGATAGAGAGAGAGAGATCTTCCAACTGCTGGTTCACTCCCCAAATGGAACTGTATCCGGGTCTCCCATGTGGATGGCAGGGGCCCAAGTACTTGAGCCATGTTCCCTGCTTTCCCACATGCATTAGCAGGGAGCTGGATTGGAAGTGGAGCAGCTGGGACTCCAACTAGCACCCATATGGGATGTCAGCATCACGGGCAGTGGCTTAACCCACGGCTCCACAACGCCGGCCCTTTGCTATGTTTATAATTGGCTGCACTGTCCATATCAAGTATTTTCTTCACCAAGAGCTTCAGTTCTTTCAGGTTTGAGCACGTCCTCCTGCTGTCTTTACATTCTCACGTCTTGTCTGGATACTTCCTCTGGGTCACTTCCTTCTCTGTTCTCAGAGAGCATGGCACTAGGAGTGGCAGTGCAGATGCCCGAGCTGAGCTTGACTTTTTACTCGCCTTTAGGAAACTGACTTATTCTGGCTCGACACCTAAAGAATTATTTCCTTGTTCTTGAGGTTTAATAGCTTCCCTGAGATATGTTTGGGTCTTGCACATTCTATATTTTAGCCCCTGGAATAGACTTGGTCCTTTTTCCATCTCTGGGAAATTTTCTTTTTATATTTTTTTCAATACATCTTCTGTCCCATTTGTTATAGCTTCTACTGAGGGACTCCGATCATTATCCTCATATTGTATAATATTTGCATGTCTTCATATCTTTTAGATTATCTCTGTGTTTAACATCCTTGTCTGTCATCTGTATTCACTACCATTATATGAACACTTTTTCCCCGTTGTCAGCAAATTTTCAACTGGCATCCTACACAATGCTTCTAAGTTATCTATCATTTCCATATTAGCATATCTGGTTCTTGGTTTGTTAGACTTCCTATTTCCTTTTTCTCTTCATTCATATTGTTTTACCACCTTGTCTTTAAACTATTTAAAAAATGCTTTTATATTCTTAAGTTTGGAGAGTGTAGGTTATCCCCTTATTAAACCATTGTGAAGAATTTGCTTCTTTTCCTTACATTTCCATCTTCCTCGGGGGTGAGCTCTGTCTGTCTACTTTGCATGCTGGTTCCTACTAGATGTAGCTGCCATGCCAATTCTCTTCCATCTTGCTTATGCCTCATCGGCTCCGTCCAGATAGTTTAATTTTTCTGATAAAATGTGGTAATTCCTTGAGTCTCTTGTAGCCCCTAGAAACCAGTGTCTCCTCCCTTTTGAGCAGCAGTTTGAGGGCTAAATGCTGTGCAGGCTCTCTCTACTCTTCTAGGTTGGATGAGCCAGGGGTGAGGAAAAGGAGCAGCTTAGCTAAGGTGATGCCCAGTCTTCACTAGAGCCTTCGGGTGCAGCTCATTCTTCTGAGAATTAGTTAACCGACTCAGGCCAGGAACCCAATCTGGGTCTCCTACGTGTGTGGCAGGGATGGCAAGGGCTCAACCGCTTGAGCCATCACCCTCTGCCTCCCATTGTGCACATTAGCAGGAAACTGGATTGGAAGAGGAGGAGCTGGGACTTGAATCAGGCACTCCCATATCGGATGCAGGCATCCCAAGCAGCATCAAACACCTGCTGCACCAAACACCTGCAGGGCACTATCTTCTCTTCTCTTTGTCCTGATCTTTGGATTCAGTGACTACACTGCTCACAATGCTCAGATGTCAGATATTCCTTGGGGAAGAACAGAGGGATTTCGCGTCTCACTGTACTGTCAGCCATTACGACCTGCAGAATGTGAAGCTAGCTCTGAGCCGCGTGAATGCTTTGTCATGTATCAAATACGTCTTTTCACAGTGACTCAGAAGGACTCTTGTCAGTCTGTAATGTCCACTTTTTAAAGAAAAAAAAAACTACAAAATACAACTTTCCACAGCTTGACTAAAAATAAAGCAACTGCAGTTCTCCCAGCAGTCGTGGTGCAGGAGCCTCCGCTGTCTTCATCCGTGCTAAGCCTTGCAGAGTCGATGGAGTTGTGGTTGCTGTGGGAACCGTGACTTCTGCAGCGCAAGGTGGCATGAACAATATTTTGCAGTTATCCCAGGATGAACACTGTCATCAGCCTTTTTTATTTTCCCTGGTAACAACGTTTAGCCTGTTGCTCACAGAATGATTTTCTGGCAAGTTCTGATTTTCAAAGTTGGCAAATTTCACTAATTAGTCTCTTTCTCCAAATGGTCTTTTACTCAACAATAGGGCTGAGGCTGGAGCCACAAAGGCTGAACACGTAGATGTCTGCTCCCTTTTCATTTGGCTTATGTAGACAAAACCTTTCTAAGGATTAGACTGCACCCCTCTCCTTTCAGCTCCATGGAAGTCTGGGCATAATTCATAAATACTAACCCACATTCTCTGATAACCTCATCAGTCTTGTCAAAGGACTTTCATTCCAACTTGAGATATTCCGGTCCACTTTTTATTCCTTCTGGAAAGTTCCATGATCCCTCCCCCATCCCCCATCAGACAGCACCCTGTTTAGGGGCAATTTTACTGAACCTGCTGAGTCTGATAACTGGAAAGGGAGAATTTGGCTCACTCAGGCAGTTCCCAACATTGTGAAAGGAAAAGCCAAACGTAGGGGTTTTTCAGGAACGACAAATAATCGATGGTTTTTGCTGAGTGTGTCCATCACACGTGTGCAGGGCTCAGAGAGCCTCCAGGGCCTTTGAGAGGGGACGTGTGCATTCAGCTGCCTGTGAGCACGTGTGTACAGAGAGGAAAGAGCATTCTGGTAAAAGTCCAGCCGTGCATTTTGTTTGAATTCTATCAACTAGCGCTTGGGCAACTGGGGTTCTGGGACACACAGGTTGCTGGAACATCTACTGTTCTGCGGTCCAAGAGTGAAGAGTGTTGAATGAATGTTAGCAACCAATTTAAAGCCTTTGAGAGTCAGTAAGGAGACCTCAGCTAAATATGACTTGTTTTCCTCCAGTCCTCTTGGGAGAGAGAGCT